CGTCCAGGCAGCGTATTTCTGCGTATTTCATGTGTATACGCGTGTTTGCGCGTGTACAGTTCATTAAAATTTCTATTACAAATGATGCATTCTGGGATTGCATATAGTGCACACATATACGCGCGTATATGCGTATACATACGCGCATATACGCACGTACATACGCGCATGTACGCGTATATACGCAATATACAATTTTGCTCTTGCGTTGTGTGTGAATGAGGCCTTATCTGACACACTGTTAGATATGTTGGATGCCTGTTCACTCACTGTGTATTGTAGTTCCTTTCACCACCCCTATGTCACCACTGTGTCCTGTAGGGACATAGGCACTGGTAGATGGAAGCACAATGCACAGCTGGGGACTAGGTATCTGACACGACAACGTGTGTCTGTTAGATGCATTCTTCAAGTGAGTGAAGATTGTCAGCATGGTCAGTGGGACAGGTAAATATTATTTTCTTTGGCAGGCAGCGTTTTGCAGATGGCTTGTGCATTCCCATAAGTCTATCTCCTTGAATACAATAAAATGCAGGACCGAAGGAGGTCAACTGCAAGGGTCATTAACTCCTGAATAATGTCAGAAGCATCTCAAACTTATGTTAAACTGATAACATCAACACAACCAAAAAACCCGTTGACCCAGGCCCCAATACTTCTAATTAGTAAAGAAAATAGGTGGTGGTGGTTGGGGTGAAAACCTTTCTTTGGCTCTAAAAATGGTGAACGGAGGTCACACCTCCTATAGGTTACTGGGGAGTGCTGATTTGCTGGTCTGCTGCGCTCAGTGGTTCATTGCCACAGGACATAGTAGGGGCTGGCAGATCAAACCACTGAGTGCAGTGTGGGGACCAGGAATCTGACACTGGCAGCAGTTTTGGATTCTGCAGGACCTTCAGCCACTGCTATCTCTTCATTACTGAGGTCAGCAGCACAAAGTTTAACTAAAGTTTAATTTTAGTTACAGTTGCATGAAAGGATTTGACCTAACAGATCCCACCCCCCACCACGCCTGTCAACAGATGTTTACTGGGAGTCTGTTTAAACAGCCCCGATGCTGGCGACGTCGTCAGTCACAAAGGGGTTAATCTGACGCTAATGGCCTCTGGGGATTGTTTACATCCTTCATGGCAAGTCCGCTCTCTCTTTGCTCTGCTTGCGCAGTAGAGCCCCATAGCTTTATATGAGGAATGTCTACCCCCATTGCCTGGCTGGAAGATGAGCCCTACAGACTTCTATAGGGCTGTAGTGCGTCGGTGTTGCCAGGAAAGATAGGCCTGCAGCACATGGTGTCAACAAACAAAGGAGGGTGCAGGGGTCAGATTTCAGAAAGTATGTATCTTTGGGGAGGTGGGATCTGTTAGGTCAGGGAGGGGGGCAAAAAGGATAAGTGCACTTTGTCTGAAAAGTGCACATATTTTTTAAAGCCTAACTCCTGTAAATAATAAAATATTTAACAATGCCGCATCCCCCAGCTGATGAACAATATGGTACTTGTGTATCTAGGTAATGATTCAACACAGACCAATACTTACCTGCTTTCATAGTCTTTTAACAGCTGATGTTCCACTCCACCACTCTCCAGCACTGGAATATGGAAGGTCATACCTTACCCCATCTCGTAAAATTAAGGACCAGCGGCCACCTCATTGAGATGGTTTGGGGCTGCTGGTCCTGCATTGCATGTGATGATGCCAGCGGGAGGGCAGTTACAAGACCAGTTGGTGACCACCAAGAAGAGCGGCTTTGGAGAATGGATTGGAACTAGTAATGAGGAATATTATGGGACTGTAAATGAAGGTAACTAATACTTTGTCCTACATCATCCTCTAGAAAAATGAGCAATACATTCTTCATCAGCTGGGGGTCAGGGTAAGGAAGACAATGTCAATGATTTCATTACTACCCGGAGTTAGGCTTTAAGCACAAATACACTTCTACATCCTTTTGGCTGTTGCAAATTTTTGTTGCTGCTATTAATAACTTGTTAAATAGTTTCTGGTGATCATTGAAATAGAAAGACTTTCATTTGTGTTTATTCACAAACGTAATTTTAACGCGTTACAGTTTTCTTTCAGCATATGCTGCTACCATATTCTTTTACACATTTTTTTCTAAGGAGACTGGAAAATGTGCCAAATATACTAATTTTAAAGGAATTCTGCAGCATGAGCATATGAAAGCTGCAACTACTGATCTTTCCCTCTGAAAGTGCTAGGCGTCTGGCTGTCATGTTGTCCTGATTGATGTCCTGAGTACTTTTTTGAGACACTGACCTAAAACAAGCATACAGATCAAGAGTTCTAACTTCTCTCTGTCTTTCTAATATGCATTCTGTTCCAGGTCAATGGCTCAGAAAGTATTGAAACAGACAGGCAGGAAATTAGCATTTCTTGGGTTGTATTTATTTCACTACAGGTTCCCTTTAAGTTTATTTATTTTCCATAAAGTGTATCGAAGCAAAAATACTGCTGTTTGTTTACCATTGGGGAGATGATTTTCCTTTACTTCCTGTCCTGTAGACACTACAGGAATGAGAGGAGATCTCTTCAAAGTAAGGGAAAGCCTCTCTTTGACAGTTGTCAACAGAACAAGGATCCCCACTGGTAGATTTCTCATTCATTCCTGTTCTATTACTGTTCCAATTTCAACAATAGAGAGGATGGATCTAACCGGTAGTAACACAAGGACCTTCCCCAGCATTCAAAAGAGGACAGAAGTCCACCCCCATTGAGACCTGCGCCACCTCCCATCCTCTGCCATGCTACTGCAGTCGCAGTGGTGTGAATATAGAGTAGGACTCTGATGCGAAGGGGGGACTGAGGGCTCTTATGTGAAGGGGCTTCTGATGTAAAGGTGGCCCATCATGTGAAAGGGAGTTTCTGATGTGAATTATACTCCTAATGTGAAAAGGGGGCTCCTGATTTGAAAGGGGGGCTTGTGATGTGAGGGGGGACTCCTGATGTGAAAGGGGGCTTCTAATGGGAAAGAAGTCTTCTAATGCGAGGGGTGCTCCTGATGTGAAGGGGGGTCTCTGATGTAAAAGGGGAAACTCTGATGGAAAGGGTGTCTTCGGATGTAAAGGGGGGGGATCAATGCATAGTTTTTTTTTGTGTGGGGCCTCCTTTTAAAATCCATACCAGACCCCCATCTAGGATAAGGGTCTAGTATAGGTTTTGGGGGGACAACACAACTATTTTAGATTTATGTTTTTTCACATTTTAGACTGGAGGCCTCGAGATTTTTCATACTTTTTAAAGTGACTAAAAAAAGGTTAAGAATACCTGTTCTAGGGATGTAGCATTGCCTTATAGCAGAAGGTATTTACACATCCTCACTTCCAGCACAAAACCCGTAAACAATGAGCCCAGTCTCAGTCTCTGTGGGTGGAGTCATGCAAATTGTTCCTTTTTGTCCCTTTTAGCCATCTGTGTATGTATTACATACTTGCATTCTGCATTTTTTGGCTTTTCAGACCTCATCAGTGGGCTTTACTGGCTCTATGGTATAGGACTTGTGAGTCAACTGGTCACCTAAAAAGATAACATTCATAGGCAAACACCCTTGCTAATGTGGATGCATACCAGACTCATACAAAAGCAGGCATCATATTGCAGAGCTCAGCAAGACCCTGCCAATATTGCCTGCAGGGGAGCATTCAAGCTTAGAAAACGAGGCCAACTACTTCCATTTAAATGATGTGATTTAAAAAGCCCTCAACATTGTCCTAATATAATGCAATTCGATCTTCTTGCTATTACAGTCTGATTTGTATTATTGTATTATATTATTTGTATATAGTATTATATTAAATATATTCTCTT